CTAAGATTTTTAAAAATTACAATCAAATTCGTTTTAAGTAAATTTGGTTGCGTTACTGTAGGTAGGAAGAGTACAATGTTGTTGTATTTTTTGTAAATACATAATATGACATGTTACCTATAATTTTTTAATTATTTCTTGCACTGCCTTGTCACTCCACATAATAATAATTAATTTAGGCCCCTTTTTCATACGCTCCTCACATCTATACTCCATGTTAGGACCTCTAAAATAAAAAGTAACGGCCGCCACCCGCCATCTTGGATTTCCTAAATGTCTTTCAGTTATTAGTATCTGTGGAGCGCTTCACTAAATTTGTTTTTAGTCTCTGACATAAAAGGGGTGTTTTGGTGGGAATGTGTTCTGTGAAACTTTTACGAGAATCCATTATCGAAAACTATGTAGTTTTATTTTTGTTTGAAGTTAAGTTTTCGTTTGAGTTTCTGCTCAGCTCATGAGAAAGCACAATGGCTAGAATTTTAACTAAGCTTTTGATTAGTTTAACAATGAAATCTAGAAATTGGAAAACCAACTAAGTTATTCCTTGCCGGTCCGAGTTTAAATGAGTGTTTTGATTTGATGATTGGAATCGTAATAACAGTAAGAAGTTTATGTTATAACTTTTGTGATAAATTCTAAATTAATTATTTTGTTTTGCAGCTGACTCACGTAATTATTTGACGAGGAACTCGATTAGTTTCAAGACTTTCAAGCCATGCTAGAGGCTGTAGAAGCGCGACAGACGCCGCATCGCAAATCGCGGCGGAATGCTGCTCATAAACACGAGTCTCTAGCATGATTTGATACCATACGAGTTCCTCGTCAAATGATTACTTGAGTAAGCCGAAAAACATAATAATTAAGTAAGAAGTTTCAGAAATATTATTAAGATTTTCAAATTATTCTACTTCTGAACATAAGTCTTCCCGAAAAACTTCCAGATCGGGTAAATTGGAACTGTTGGAAGCGACCTTGTTGGTTGCATCCAGTGACTCCCTGCGTACCTTTATCAGGTCGTCTGTCCATGAAATATGCTTAGTTACTTACCTAGTGAAAATTGCTATATTATGTTTATTGTTGTCTGATTGGTGATTTGTTCGTCCGCGAGTCACTTAAGGGGCCAGTAGAATACCACCACGAGGCCCTGTCTAGCACATGCTGAACTGGGCCTATTTCATCGCAAACTTGGGACATTAGTAGATATTAGTAAACTTATGTGTAAAATCTGTACGTGTCACCTGTTTTAGCGTGTGAAATAAAGTTCTTTTTTCTTTCTTTTAGTGCTTAGGCATAATTATAACTTTATTTTATTTTTATGTTCAGCCATGATCGTCCCACTGCAGGGCAAAGGCCTCCCTACCCTCCTTCCACTCCTCTCTATCAAAGCTAAAAAATAGCTTACGATAAATAGTAACCACGGATTACAATACTTTATACTTACTTATGTTAATAATACCAAGAATAAAGATCATATTTAAATTGAACACTGGACTAGCCTAAACTTGTTTGAACCTGTCCATTCACACACTGCCGGATATTGGCCGAAATACCTGAATGATTACTGTTTTATAGGCCTGTCACGTCAGGTACCTGACATAATAATAATAATAATAAGGATGGGACGGTTGACATATGTCGGGCATGTCATAGTCCTGGTGAATCCATTAGACATATTATTTCTGGTTGTGGTCGTTTGGCTAACAGTGAATATTTGCATAGGCATAATCAAGTAGCCAAGATTATCCATCAGCAACTTGCTTTGCACTATCGACTTGTTGAGTCTGAGGTACCGTACTACAAGTATGTGCCCGACCCAGTTCTGGAAAATGACCATATCACGTTGTACTGGGACCGGTCTATCATCACTGACAGGACTATTATAGCCAACAAACCTGATATAGTGGTGATAGACCGACAAGTGCGCCGCACGATGATAATCGATATCACTATTCCTCATGATGAGAACCTCGTGAAAGCTGAAAAAGATAAACAAATCAAATATCTTGATTTGGCTCACGAGGTTGTCGACATGTGGAATGTAGATTCGGCTATCATTGTGCCGATAGTCGTGTCGGCCAATGGGTTAATCCCTAATAGCCTCGACAACCACCTTAGGAGGCTAGCGTTAGGCAGTTGGGTCAAGGGCCTGATACAGAAGGCAGTTCTCCTTGAAACGGCACGTATCGTGAGGAGGTTTCTGTCTCTGGAGCCCTAACCACCGGTAGCTTGGACCATGCTCCTGCTACTGGTCGGCTCCTATTTTTTATATTTTTAAATATTATTTTTATGTTTTTGTAAGTAGTATTTAAAAATGTATTTTATAGAGAATTTAAAATAAATATATGGAAATAATAATAATTTCGTATAATTTATGCTTTTTCATGGCTTACTTATATAATATTTTTTTTATGTTGAATTGGCTGCCGACTGGAGAAACCAAGTATCTTAACAGTCTAACGTCAATCATTTAATTACTTTTATTTAAAACAATCTCAGTAGTAGCACGGAGTCTGGAATTGTGCCCGGTATATGGCAATAGGCTCACTCCCTATTACATGGGACTCATAACATAAATAGTGAGAAGTGGATGAACAATGCATTGTACAGTTACATTAAGTGACATAATGTGCACCTCTGTCTACCCCTTCAGGGATAAAAAGGGCGTTATGTTATGTATATGTATAAACAGTCAAGTTAAAATAAACTTGACTGTTTATACCAAACAATCGAATGGTACCTGCGATACCTTGCCTAGAAGTCGATAGTCCAACAATCGACCGCGCTGTAATTTATTTTTAAAAACTACACATTTTGACCATTATAGCATTGCCTCCCAAAGTCCTAAGTTATATTTATTTTTTAGCTGGAAGTTACTGACAGCATCGAATTGTGGTCCATAGTTAGAACAAACGGCTTCACACTGGTGCGCCTGCGCCGTGTAAACAAACAAACGCAGCGGCACATCAAACGAGTGCGCGTACGCATTTACATGTGTAGGGCGACCATCTTGTGGAGGAAGTGGGGAATTACTTTGGGAGATTAAAATAATTTGATTTTGATTTTTAGAATGATGTTGATTATTTTAATAAAATGAATTCGTATATTATTATTTAATATGGAATTAAGACTGCCTAATTTTGGTTGTATCAATATTATAAAACACCGATCTGAAAATCTATCCCGTGTAAGGCAAGAACTTTAAGTAATAGTGCTATAGACAAAATTTGTATTTTAATAAAAAAAACCTTCTGTTAATCCATTTTCGTAATAAATCAGCATGATATATTTGGCCAAACTAAAGCCTAAAGTCGCTGAAATAAGTCAGTAAGTATCTCCTCAAAACAAGACGATCCACAAAAACTTCTAACGCACACACACCCTACTCAATCTAAATATACAAGTGGAAGCGACTGCTATGCATCACTCGGCATTGAACCCGGTGCCGCGGGTTCATTCGATCAGTTATCACTTAGCCATTATTGTACAATTGCGGTATTACTGCCGGCGGAAGAAACACTTAGTAGGTGTAATGATAAATGTTTGTTCGGACACCCTGTACTAATGTACTGTATGTGCCGATAGCCGTTTGAACACCTGTACTAATGTACTGTATGTGCCGGTAGCCGGTAGCTATCGGATGCCAGTGGCTGATTGTTGTTCGACGTGTTTTAGATTACCTCTATATCTCGATATCAATACAATATCTTTTGGGGAGACCTTTGAGAGGCGATTCATGTCTTTAGAGTACCTAAGACTGATATTATATTACTCATTTACATATACGTCACATTCAAACCTCTTAGGCGAGAGGTGTATAGAGATCCAAGGCGGGAGAAGACATTGGAAAAAAAGAGTCAAAGTCAAAATCATTCCGCACATTTGCGCAGCAGCTGTTCGTACAAACCATTGCTTCTGTGCATTTGCGAAAAAAACAGTAGAAAAAAAAATCATTTTATAAAAAAATAAAACTAAGAATTTGCTGAGCCAGGGAATATATACCACGGGCCTACGGACGGCACGACGTGGTTCACTCGCGCCTCATGGAGCTATCAGACTACCACAGATAGGGCTCAATAGGGCTGATGGCGATACATAGCCGCGGAGGACTTATCGGGTAACCGGGGCTCCGGCTCGAAGTGCAGGAGTACGAACGGGGTGGTTTTTAGTCAGTAAAAGTCTGACACTCCCGCTCGCCTCACCCGGGTGAGAAATGTCATTGGATGATTTTTCACCCTCAGAAAAAAGAACATATATCCCAAACTAGACCGCCCATTTATTTTAATTTCCAACAATAATAAATTAACGCAATCATCGTCATAAAAATATAAATTCCTTTCATTTAACCGCCAAGTTAAAATTAACTACAACCGATGTTTACGATAACTGCAAGCGTTAAAACATTTGTTCTAATTCTAAGTATGACCACGGTCTCACTGCCTTTGATCTTCAAACCATGTTATTGTTATATTTAAAACCGACAATTTTTATTCATCTGCTTTGGTGCAGTTGTTAAAGCATGATCAGTCCTAGTTTTGTTTCCAGGTAAACTTCTAGGGCTTGCTGTCTTCATCACAACATTGTATTTATGCCACTGCCTTAGAGAAGGCACAATGGATTGATTATTCACCATGCTTGTGAACGCTTCCACCATGGGTCCTCTTGATTTCGTCATAACATACATAACTTAACGCCTTTTTTATCCCCGAAGGGGTAGGCAGAGGTGCGCATTACGGCACTTATGGCACTGTACAATGCAACACCCACTTTTCACTATTTATGTTATAAGTCCCATGTAATAGGGGGTGAACCTATCGCCATATACCGGGCACATTTCCAGACTCCGTGCTACTACTGAGATTTAAAAAAAAAACCCAGTAATACTTTGCCCGACCCGGGAATCGAACCCGAGACCCCTTGCCCGACAGTCGCACTTGATTTTGTCAGTAAAACTATTTATTGTTAAGTACGTAATTTAATGTTTGTCTCTTTCTTTGTTATAGATGTAGTGCATCACTCCGCTCATAGAATACGCAACCACAGAGCTAGCAGACGACACCGGGCAGTTAATGGTAAATATTATATACTCTAGCTATTGTAAATTAACTAAAAAATCGCAGGTTACACATGTGAACATCCTAGGAAAAGCTCTACTAGTTTCGAACCACAGAGGGGTTCTTCCTATCGCGCAGCCAGCGCAGCCTAACTGGCTAGCGTTGGCGCTTTCGTCTAGCTATTCTACTAGCATATATTTCCTATAAACTGTACCTACCTGTACATCACTGTTGATCACAAACGATTCTTAAATTATTTACACTCGTAACGTTGGCTTTAAAAGCGATGACTACATATATTCTTTTTAATGTCTATGGTTAGATTGAAATAAAGAGTAAAACAAATTTTGTAAATACATTTTCTACAATAACCGTTTTTAAATTACGCTCGAATTTTTTGTTTGAATGCAAGCAACTTTTGTTTTCGTTATTTACACTACGAACGTTAGAAAAACTGTAATAAATACGTAAAAACTTCGTTAATTACAATTTATTGCTACCGAAGGACAAGTTCGGTCGTACAAGGACGCCCTACATCGGAGAAGGGCAAATATTGACCTTAGCTCAAGTTGATGTCCTTCATAAAGGGTCCCGACTTGTTCCAAACAGTATAATTACTTTAAAAAGCCAAGAAAATGCTCGAAGTTAGAATTATTTACTGCAATTGCCAGTACTTAGCATTGTTTTCTACTGTTTACAAGATAATTATAATGATAACAATATTATTACTACAAACAAAACTTTTCAGTCACTGCTGCCATCTACTAGCAAAGTTATGAAACACGTCTCGGCTTTCTACCAAAAGGTGGCGCTGTTCCTTCGTATTATTTGAACTAACTTAGTATGTCTACTCCCCAACAGATGGAGAGCTGCATTTTGAACCGGAGCCGTATAGTAAGAATCTGGAATTGAATACTTCTGGGAAAATACATTGTAAAGTTGCTGGCGGCGTTGCTCCAACAGTACAATGGTTTTTGGTAAGTTTTTATACTTAGCTTCAAAATAATTGAAAAATCAGCAGAATGGTTGAAATATATGTATTACCTAAATAATAATGAACTAATGCTAATAGTAAACTACTTTACTTAATTTAATTTAGTTTTTGTTTGTTTTATATTATGTCAAATGGTGTCTATAATAGATATTAAAAGATCTTTAAAGTTCTTGTCCAAATTTTCCTGAAAATAAAACAACGTACTTCGAAACGCTATTTTAAATACAATTCAAATCAATTATAAATATGTATATCTACAAAATAAATCCAAGAAAGGCACAAAATTAAATAATTAAATACACAAATTAATAATTAAATTTTTAATTTAATCAATTAATAATAATTATCTGTTATGTTTCCAGAACGACGAGGACCCACTACCCGAGGGCGTGACCTCTGCGAATGGCACGCTGATGGTAGCGGACGCGGAGAGGCGTCACTCCGGACAATACACCTGCAAGGCGGTCGATGGAGACCGATCCATTACTGCTAAGATCAATCTTGATGTTGTTGGTGAGTGACTGTTTGTTAAAAGAAAATCAACAAACTTGTACTCCAATGGGGTCTTCCGCCTCACCCAGGCGGGAGAAGTCAATCGACGATTTTTTCCCCCTTCAAAAAAAAAATGGGGTCCTCCGTATTTTTATTCACTAGATGACTCTTTTTTTTTGTGCCGGGGAAATTATTCAATGACTTCTCCCGCCTTGGGTTAGGCGGGAGGGAGTGTCAGACTCTTACTGACTAACAACCACCCCGTCCCTACTCCTGTTCTTCGAGCCGGAACTCCGGCAACCCGTTAGGCCTTCCGCTGCTCCATATCGGCATCAGCCCTACGGGGCCCCATCCGTGGTGGTCTGATGGCTCTTTGAGGCGCGCACGGTCCGCTCGGCGCCGTACGCTCGGGTCTGGTTCCGATCGAGCGGTCCCCTTGCTCGCCGTCCGCAGACCCGCACCTACGGTGGCCGGGGATCGTCGCGCGACCTCAGGCATTATACATAACTATAATATAACATAACATCACGCCTTTCATCCCCGAAGGGGTAAGCAGAGGTGCACACAGATGTAACACCCACTTTTCACTATTTATGTTATGAGTCCCATGTAATAGGGGGTGAGCCTATTGCCAAATACCGGGCACATTTCCAGACTTCGTGTTACTACTAAGATTTATTTTAAAACCCAGTAATACTATGCCCGACCCGGGAATCGAACCCGAGACCCCTTGTCTGGCAGTCGCACTTGCGACCACTCTGCCAACGAGGCAATATAACTATAATATAACTATATATTATAATATATAAATAACTATAATAGTAAAACAACTTATATTATATAATACTATATCCTTGGTTCCAGTGGCGCCGCGAGTAGTGGAGCCGTCCCCCGGACAACAGATGCACGTCACCGTCGGTCAGACCGTCGTCCTCCACTGCGTGGCCACCGGGGACCCGCCCCCCACCACGCACTGGGATGGGAGGAACCTTGATAAATTGGGGAAACAGCGTGAGTCCCTCCTTCTTTTTTGAAGTCAGTTTAAAAACTCTTTCGTTTTTCCTTTGTACGAATATAGAATGCCATGAGGTCAGATTACTCACTCAATATAACTCCCAGCTGGTGCTTAATCCTTATTCAGAATTATTATACTGCTAGCTTCTGCCCACGACATCGTACGCGCAATCCCGTTTTCTCCCGTTCCCGTAGGATTTTCAGCATTTTTTCTGTCTTCTCCTAATAATAACAAATACAACAAACAAAGAATTAGTGAAATCGGTCCAGCCATTCATACGTGATGCCGTGACCAAGGGAATAGGGGATTCGTTTTTATATATAATTTTTTTTTTAAACGTTGCCCCACACTAGGATTTTCTCCTGTGTCGTGGGTGCGTTTACAAATATACAAGTTCACATACACATGACACCCAGACCCGGAACAACAATCTGTGGATCACACAAAGAGTTGTTCCGTGCGGGAATCGAACCCGCGACACGTTGCGGGGCAGCCAGTTGCCCAGCCACCGCGCCAACCGTGCAGTCATATGTAAGATCCTTGTATGTTAATCTTTATATATATAATTCTTCTGTAAGTGTGTATGTCACTGAACTTCTCTCAAACGACTGGACCGCTTTTGATGAAATTTTTTGTGTGTGTCAAGGGGACCTGGGAATGGTTTAGATTCACAAATCAGCCCGGCAGATGGCGCTGCAGTCGGTTTCTAGGTTATTTATCTATACCTATTACTACAGGACAACGTCTTTCGGGTCCGCTAGTGATACAGTATTTATTGAATACTGAATGCTAAAAAGAGATTCAATTTTTTCCCAGAAGATGGTGGACTGGAGGCAGAAGACAGCGTGAATGCTTCTACAGCAAGGTAACATTCATTTATATTTTTACTTGACACTCGGCTACGCTATTTCACTCGCTCTGCTTACCTCGTATTGATCGTAGAGTTATGTTTTATAGTGGTGAGGCGGGAGGGAGTGTAGGAATTGTACCAATTGGCGTTCCATAGACACTGCCTATCTCCATGAGAGACGGGCGTGAAGTTATATGTATTTGGTTGTTTAGATGAGTAGTCTGATGGTGTCGGGTATTTCGTGGTGTAAATAAAAGTTCGACTCACGTATCACCAAGTTTATTCGATGGATCCGACACACGTGTAGTACAGAAGGCACAGTAGGAAAGTCACAAGCACTTATAAGTACAGCACAGAGATAGCGAGAAGACAGTCAGTATTAGAAGTAGTAAGGAATAGATAGAACTAAGGTAATTCTGATTGCCAAATGTTTTTCTGTGTTTGCAGACTGGTACAATTGAACAACGGGACTCTAATAATTCGTAACGTGTCGTCTATGGACGCGGAGCAGTATGGCTGCACGGCCGGCAATGCGGGCGGACTCGCGAGACATGAACTACAACTTATTGTACATCAAGGTATGGTTTTATTAACGGGGGAAAATCATCGAATGACTGCTCCCGCCTGGGTGAGGCGGGAGGGAGTGTCAGACTCTTACTGACTAAAAACCACCCCGTTCCTTCTCCTGCACGTCGAGTCGGAGCCCCGGTTACCCGTTAGGTTCTGTTTAACTGGAATTTATTTGGCAATGTAAAAATATTAACTGCATCGTTGGCCGTTGGGGTTCGATTCCCGGGTCAGGCTAAGTATTACTGGGTTTTTAAAAAAAACCTCAGTAGTAGCACGGAGTCTGGAATTGTACCCGGTATATGGCAATAGGCTCACCCCCTATTACATGGGACTCATAACGTAAATAGTGAAAAGTGGGTGTTACATTGTACAGTGGCGTTAAGTCCCGTAATGTGCTCGTCTGCCTACCCCTTCGGGGATAAAAGGCGTGAAGTTATGAAATGGAAAAAAACACTAGTGGCTTTTTGCTCCCGAATTTAGTTCATCCTCAATTCCCCACAAACTTGTCGTAGATTTGAAATTATGGTATTTTCAACTAACTATAATACATATAATAGTTTTTAGTTATTTGTATTTATAATATTTATATTACTTAGTTCCATGGAAACATTAGACCCATAAATACCCAAGCGGTCACCGGTGACCGCTTTCCACTAATATTACATTACATTATAGACCTTATTTCTAAAGTTTAGAGACTACTTTTGTATGACCAAATTTAGGGGATGGATTTCAACGGGTTAAGGCGTTTAAAAATAAAGTACAAGTCACTTCTCGACTGTAATATAATATAGATATTACCTTTTTCTAATATTTAATTTTCTATCAATTTCATGCTAGATAGTGTTTTGTTTTAAATAATAAACTTATTTCTCTCTAACCACTAAAATCACTAATCTATGGAGGTGTAATTCATATAAAAATGTCTTTAAAAATCTAAATTATTTGCTATTTTCATTCAACAAATAATTTGAAACATCTTTTGTCGTACAGAAGGAGAGCTGCCCCCCCAGGAGTCGAGTGGAGTGGCAGGCAAGGCGGTGGTGGTGTCTGTGTCGGTGGCGGGCGCCTACATGGTGCTGGTGCTGGCGCTGATGGTCTACTGCAGGAGGCGCAGGCTGCGGCGGCGGCAGAGGGGTGAGGGCATTCAGTATTTTGATGGCCAAATAGTTTCATATCAGTTATTAGATACCCGTATACATAATGTAATTCTCTTATATATTAATCTATATCTAATTTTATCATATTTATAGATATAGATCTATACATATAACATTTAGAATTTTAGTCTGTATGTATGTCTGCCGATTCGGAGTCGCGGAGAACCTAACGGGTAACCGGGGCTCCGGCTCGACGTGCAGGAGAAGGAACGGGGTGGTTTTTAGTCAGTAAGAGTCTGACACTCCCTCCCGCCTCACCCAGGCGGGAGCAGTCATTCGATGATTTTCCCCCCTTAAAAAAAATACATATAACATTTTGAATTTTAGTCTGTTTATATGTCCGGAATGAAATCAAAAAGTGCTGCATGGATTTACTTCATGAATATTACTAACAGGTCTGGTCAGCATGTAGGCAGCATATAATCATGCTATTAACTACGGAAGAGGAGCTGTGTATCACTATTCCACGCGAACGAAGTCGCGGGCACAGCTAACTTATTATAAATGCGAAAGTTTGTGTGTTTGTGTACATGTTTCTTATTCAATCCCGTCAAAACGGCTGAAGGAATCATGTAAGCAATTTTTTACCCCACAGATACGCAAGCTAAGCCGCTGGCAAAACTTAGTTTATTGTAGAAAGAAACATATTGTCTTTAATTTTTTTCTTTTCTATACATTTTTATTTCAATCTTAGTAGATAATCATGGCTAACGGAGTTCCCAACGCATGTTACTAAAAAATATTTTCATAAACAATGTATACTTCTATTTTAAGGTGAAAAAATGGAGTTAGAGATGACAGAAGGGCGAGAGAAGTTGGTAGAAGATGGTGAAGAAGAGAAGCAGAAGGTCAACGGAGCCGCCTTGCAGAACGGGAGGCTGTTGGCGCATGATAAGGATAGCGGTATGTTATTGTCTCTGTCTAAACCAGCTGTTATTTCTTAGTTAAAGTAATTGAAATGCTGAGTAAACGTAAGTTCAGATATTTAAACTACATTACATAACATCACGCCTTCTATCCCCGAAGGGGTAGGCAGAAGTGCACACAGAAGTAACCCCCACTTTTCACTATTTATGTTATGAGTCCCATGTAATAGGGGTGAGCCTAGGGGTGAGGACTCATAACATAAATAGTGAAAAGTGGGTGTTACATTGTACAGTGGCATTAAGTGTCGTAATGTATATCTCTGCCTACCCCGGGATAAAAGGCGTGATGATGTTTCATGTTGTGTTATTTAATGATTGAAATAGACCAGTAGTAGTTATACAAGGCGAAGGCTAATTTTTAATTCGAAATCCCTACCCTTTCTTTTATCTAGAGGTATACATGTATAAATAAATAAATGTATGTTTGTTTATATCCAGGTGCAGATAACTCAGAAGTATCTGGCGTATCTCGCGCTTCCAAGAAGTCTGGTCAGTTCGAGCATCTGTCTGTACCACGGAGTCTGCTCACTGAACAGATCACATTGGGTACATTATTGTTATATTTTATACTAGCGACCCGCCCCGGCTTCGCACGAGTGCAATATGCATGTATTATACATATACACTTTCCTTAAGAATCACTCTAGCTATTAATACAACCGCATCAAAATCTGTTGCGTAGTTTTAAAGATCTAAACTTACATAGAGACAGACAGACGGCGGATAGTGACTTTGTTTTATACTATGTAGTGATGTGATAGTGACGTTAATGTTATTCGCTAATAGTGCAAATATTTGGTAGATTTTAATGACTTTTTAACAAAAAGAAATATATCAAAGAAGAAAGGAAGAACTTTCTTTGCACTGTTCCAATTATAACAGAACAAGAAAAATTCTTAAAAATACATTGAGTATGGCGCATAAAGGACAGTATTCGAGTAGCTTCCTCAGTCAAAAACAAATTATTTCGACTTTACAATACCATACAATATTTTTATATTAAAATTTCGTGAGACCTCGACTTGCCAACTAGTCAAATTCAATACTTTTTCCGAACTGTCAAAAACGACAGTTTTCTATGAATTTTTTACGAGATTGTGTATTGTGACGTCACGTTTTTTTAGCGCCAAACAGCGAGCTTATTTGTTAAAAATTGCTGGAAAAATACTAAAATTAAGTTGATCATAAAATCAATTAACGAAAGTGTGATTATTTTTTATTATTGTGTTGTACAGTCGAAATGATTTATTTTTGATTAAGGATTATGTTTTCTGCTTACCCGCGTAACTACTTAACGAGGAACTCGACTAGTTTCAAGCTATGCTAGAGGCTCATATTCGTTCTAGAGGCTCGTCAAACATTTACGTGAGTAAGCCGAAAACATAATAAGTAAGCATAATATATTACTTAAAATTTCATACTTTTTTAAGAATTTTGTTTGTTATTTGCGGAGCATTGCAACTTTTTATTATATACGGTGGAATTTTGTAATGCCACTTAAAGGGGAAGACTTAATACTTCAAGCGCTTTAACAATTGGGTTTAATAATTTAAGATTTCATTGTTTTCTTTTCATTCAATTTATGAAGTTTGTTAAAGAAATGTCATCCTTATTGACTCTAACGATCAATGCAATAATAGTACAGGGTGCAACTTTTACAAATTTTAGTCGGTTCAATTACCGTGTTTTTAAAATATTTGAATGCCGTTCTCTTTCTTTTCAAAATAAAGGAATTCTTTGAGTAACATTTTCTGTCTAAAGTACCTATTAAGAGTTCTAAAATCTTTTTGTGTTGGATAGTCAATTTATAAGCTGAAAAAAACATCACGCTACAATGAAAAGGAGCCGAGCAGAGCGGATGAAACCGATGAAAGCATTACTAAGCTACTTCATATAACCAGATTTGACTAAACTTTCTATTAAAATTTCCAGGTCGTGGAGAATTCGGCGAGGTGATGCTGGCAAAGATAGATATGTGCCAGGTCAACAAGTTGCGTAACAAGGAGAGCCTGGACGCTGAGGGCGAGCCCAAACTACGACCTGTATTGGTTAAAGCACTCACAACTAAAGATGAGGTAAGCACTTCATACAAGCCCCTAACATAACGTAACGTCAGGATTTTTAATTCTAAAAGAAAGATAGAAAATACATTTATTTAGCACAAGACACGATGCAGCATAAATAAAATATAAAAAAGACAATAAAGGTCAAAAAAATAAAAGCAGCAGAATTAGAAATGAAATCCTAACAACATCATCAACAGCCTATAAATCCCCACTGCTAAACAAAGCTTCTTCTCACACGGAGAAGGTTTGAGCATTAATCACCACGCTTGCTCAATGCGGGTTGGCGATTACAAACTTATAATTAGAAAGTATAAGCCCAGGTTTCCTCACGATGTTTTCCTTCACCGTTTGTCAGTGGTGTCTAAATAATCTTAGAAAGTACATATAACTCGGAAAAAGTCACATTGGTACTTGCCGTTGGTAGGTTTCGAACCCGCACCCTCATGCATGAGAAGCGGGCGTCTTAAACCTCCGGGCCACCAAGACATGCTAACAACATGCCTATGCTAAATGGATTACCCACTAAGTATAAGGGGTTTCTTACAATTCACACGTCTAGCGGCATAATATATAATATAATATATTATATGGAAAACACACGCTCAAGTCATACCCATAGTCATAGGAGCGTCCGGAATGGTAGCTAAAAGTATTCACAAATATTGCGCGCAGTTAGACTCCAACATTAACATCCACATCATGCAAAAACAGGCAGCTATTCACACAACCACCATCTTGAGTAAAGTCTTGGGGAATACTATTTATATAGACAGGGACCGCGATTCTCCTCTTCCTTGAGGGTCTCAGGGCGGGAGGATTGCGAAATACCGACTCTTACGAGTCGAGATGTAGGACATTACACACATCTATAATATATAATATATAATATATATAGTAAGGATAAGGATATGCATCGTACGCACTTTCGAGTTCGACAGTTCCTTTGAAAAAATGTAACATTGTAATGTTTAATTTATATTAGCTGAATAGGTTATAGTTGTAATTTAAGTTTTTTATTCCTATGTTTCAAATAAATAAATGATTATGATTATAAGCTGAATAGGCTATCACGCGGTTCACGCGATGACGCGATGACGAGCGTTTTTCAATGATTTTTAATGGGATAAGCCGGTAAACGACCTGATGGATCACCTGATGGTAAGCAATCAGCTCTGCCATGGACACCCAGAACCTCAGAGGCGTTACAAATGCGTTACCGGCCTTTTGGAAATTGGGAATTTGCGAAATGTGGGGGATTCGGGGATTGGGGAGACTGGGAGCAAAGTCGAGATGGTATGTATATATGATAATAAGTGGGGATTCAGAAGAATAATACAAATTGTTATCGTCCGCAGGTGCAGCTGGGCGAGTTCCGTCGCCAGCTGGAGTTGTTCTCCCGCGTGCGCCACGAGCACGTGGTGCGCCTGCTGGGGCTGTGCGACCGGCGCCAGCCGCACTACTTGCTGCTGGAGCATACCGACTGGGTGCCGACACCTACACTCATACACTTTAAACTATTTTAGATAATTATACATTTAAGTTTACAAA